AGTTCCAACAGATCCGTTATTCTGGATTTCCTGGGGTTGGAGACACTTGGAAACTGTGTGTGGCTGATTCCATAACGGTGAAGAATCACCAAAATATTTATGAGACATTTCTGTAGCCAGCTGATGGGAGAAAGCCATCTTCTGTGGGGACCTGTGCAGTTCACATTGTGAAAAATGGGTTATGTAGATGAAAAATATGGGGCTTTTGGTGGTAATGGATTTTATATTTTTTTACTGATTGAATCAACTTGTTCCCTCATGGTTGCCACCTTTATGAAACAGACTGAAACCAAGAGGTTTTGCCTCAAACTTAAAACGCATTTTTCTTTTTTGTTCCTCTGAAGAGCCATCTCAGTTGCTTATTCTGAGTACTTTCCTTTCAAGCCTGAAAGCCAAACCAAATGTTCTTTTATAGTATATTCTTCCACTGACAGGCATGCATTTAACATAGAGCCTGTCTGTGTGCTGCAGTCCATGGACACTGAACCGAGGCTGCACTCAGTTGTTATTTAATTCTCCCTCGTTTATTCCAGGTGAAGAAGTGCCACAAAACCTTTGCTCGGAGAGTCTCCGTCCTGAAATAGCAGCTTGTGAAGTACCTTGTGCCATGGACTGCGTGGTCAGCGAGTGGGCGCAGTGGTCTCCGTGCTCCCAGTCGTGTTCCGGCAAAAACGCCGAGGGGACTCAGAGCAGGAGCAGGTCTATCTTGGCCCTTCCCGCAGAGGGTGAGTGGATATTTCAGGTTGGTCGCTGCTTTTTCATTCAAGAAGTTACCTTGCTTTCCTCCGCCAAACGGTGTTTGGAGCAGAGCTAACCCACTACTTGTCTGTACTTTATGCCTAGCAACTAAAAGATCTTTCCAAGCTTGAATTGATGCATGTGTTACTTGGAGAAATTCTGCCACGGTTCAAAATTATTTACTTTAGCCTATAAATTATTGAATATTTAAAGCCTAGCCTGGGCTGAATGTACTTCAGTTGCATCCTGCACTAATGAAATTATTGAATGACCTAAACTCCTCATATAAGGGTTTTTATATAGTTATGTGTTAGTACTGATTTAGAAGGGAGAGAGCTGTGAAAGCAAGGAAATAGCAAAGGATCTTTATTGTTATTGCAAACCTAAAATATGTCAGTCTTCTTTTTCTGTTGGTGTAGGTAAATTGCCCTTGATGAATTTATATAATTTCCTCTAGATCTTCCCTGAAACATCATATATCTGGATTTGAACATTTCGACTTTACAGTGGCAGATCTTTTACACGAGCTATTTCTTAATGTAATTATAATCTTCCAGCTGTAGTTACACATATAGTAATTCACCGAGCATGTTGGTTTATCACCTAGCATTGCAGGGATACCACACAGAGTACACACAATTCATGAAACGTTTGCAGGTCCAACAGACTAAAGCCTTGTTGACACAAAAGAAAACACCCGTTATTGTCAGCACTATGTGCAGCTAATCTGGCAGCAAAACACTTCAGATGCAGATCTAGTCTGGGACAAGCACCGGTGAAAGCAATTTTGGCAATTATCGTTAAAACTGCCTGCTGTTCCTAGGGCACTGTGAGGACTTGATCTTGCAAACCCTTACTAATGTGAATGGTCTTTATTCATATAAACATCCTTATGCACTTGTAAAGAAAATTGGAATCCTTCAGGATGAAAACTGCGATGTAATTGTAGATTGATAATAACTATATCTAAAGAAGTGTTTGAGCTACAAAATAATTCAAATGAAAAATGAAGTTTTCATATTTTCTGTAGAGGGGACAAAATACAGATAAACATGGAATTAGAAAAGTAGAAGAAAATCTGAATAGTTGTTAATGTTAAGAAATGAACACCAGAAGTACTGAGATCTTCTGGTCTGAAGTCTGAAGGACTTCTGGATCTGATTCTGGTTCAAACACTGGGTGTTTTCTCCAAGATGTTCACCAGATCCCATAGTATAAGGAGCAGGGGCATCTGATGAAACTAAAGAAGCTAAAGCAGGTTCCAAATGCCTAAGATAGATAGAGCTGTGGACATGAGGTCTGTGGTAGGGCTGCAGATAGGGTTTGGAGGGGATGGGCTCTCCAGATTCATTGCTGAACCCCTGTGAGCTGCAGAAAGTGGCCGGGCTCTCGTGCTGGAACAGGAGGCCCGTTCACCTCCCCAGTTTCAGCTCCCTCATGACTAAACCGTTCGGAGGGTGAACGCAACATGGAGCAGTCCTTGCCAAGAAAAGAAGAGAAAGAGCGCAGTAGTGGGCTTGGTTATCCAAATCAGTGTGCTGCCCAAGAAATTACTGCCCTTCTTTTCCTTTTCCCAGTGTGAGTGATTGGGGCCATTTGGGGTCACACGTTATGTGCAGACGCAGTCCTGCGAGGTGCCGAGCGGCCCTTTGAGGAGCAGCGGCCCTTCATCTCCCCGCGGCGCTAGTGGAGCACCGAGGTGCTCTCTGCTTGGGCATTCCAGTCCCAACACTTCAATTCTTAAAACCTCTAGCTCTAATTTTGATGTGCTCTTGCCATGTCACAAGTCGCCAAATTTTCCCTCTTGGAGGAGAAGGATTTTGATTTTAGTAATTTTTCCTCCTTTCATCCTGAAATGACATTACTCACTGCATTACCTTGCTTTTGCATGTCCGATTCTTTCATGGAATAAATTCAGCTTGCTGGTTGGAATTACAGTAGTTTAGCCAAATTTTTAGACATCAGTTTGAAAGTGGTCGCCTCAGAAAAGTGATGCTTCAAACTCCAACCCTCTCTCTCAAGATGGTCCTCTTCCTTCACAGGTGAGGGTAGCAAATGGTACAGGGATACAACGTCCAAAACTGTGGTGCAGAATTGTATGCAGCCCTGTGCTTTTGGTCTGTGCATGAAGGGAATCTGTGTATTGGAAATGCTCCTCCTTGGGGAAGTAGTAAGGAGAATGAGCATAAAAATAATGCTTAGTTTATCTTTAAATCTGACTGTGGGTTTGCTGGAGCTGGTGCTGGTGCCAGCTGTGAGTGGGAGTATCAGTAAGGTAGCTGGGAAATGCGCTTCGCCTCTTTCTGTTTTCATTATACGTCCGAATACAATTTTATGCAAGGCTAGTTTAATGGGGAAACAATATTTTAGAAGGTTGTTATTGCAACCATAAAGGTCAGCAGCTTTATTTAAGCTGTATTTATTTATTTATTTGTAACAGGAAAAAAAGGCACTGAGTGGGACTGTCATTTCTGTGTATTTTTTTTTCCGTGACTTCCTCCTGCCGTTGGCTCCCAGGTATAATAATCATATTCCTTGGACCATTTCCAGGTGGGAAAGCCTGTCCGCCCGCGCGCGCCCTGCGGGAGCACCGCGTGTGCAACGAGCACCCGTGCGCGCCCGTCTTCTGGGAGACGTCGCCCTGGAGCGCCTGCTCCGAAGGGGCCCCGGCGTCCGGGCCCAACGGCACGGTGGTCTGGAGCGCAGAGGCCGCCTGCGGAGTGGGGCTGCAGACCAGGAGCGTCTCCTGCGCCAGGAGCGGCTCCGGCCACGTCGCGCCCAAGAGGTACTCGAGGAGGCTGCGGGCGGCCGCGGTGGCGCGGGGTGGCCCCGGCCATGTAGGGCTTGAGCGAGTGGTTGTAATTAAAACAGATAAAATACGGAGCGTTCGCAACTGGTCTAGGGAAACCACAGCTCTCCAACTGGTTTTATTTCCAGGCGAGTTCTCCATTATTCCCGCCCTGTTATGAAACGGATACTAATATATATTGATATAAAAAAATCCAGCCTCTTTTTAAGCCCATACCTAAAAGCAAGGGAAAACCACTTTGCAGTGACATAGCGTTTAGCCTTAGCTCTTCTAATATTCTTGTTCACAATTTGGGAGAATGTTTTTCCTGAAAGAGAATTTTGAGGAAAATATAAACTAGCTCTGAGCATAACGTCTGTCAAAGAATTACTAACAATGATCTAATAAAATAAAAAAATAATTAGGCCTTGTATTATGTTTACCCCATAATAAGGCAGAGGGGTGTGTGTGATACGTATCGTTCTGTCGATTTATATGGTTTTTGTATTGCGGTATCAACACAATGAAATTATGTATTCTGCAGTAAACATATTCGGAGTTTGACTTTGCTTTACTAAGCTAGGAAAAAGAGTAGCACAGATGTTTTCCCTAATATAAAAAAAATTAAGATACTGCTAATTATTTTTGCACTGTTAATGAGTCTAGAGACTTACAGCTGAGTTTCATTTCTTATTGTAGCTCTCAAAACAATCCTGTTCATATAAGCAGACTGAGTTGATTTCAGTAAAGTTAATTAAAATTCTTGAGGTTAATGAGATTAATTAAATAAAAGCAAAGAAATCCTGTATTCATTTATAGCTAGTGTCCATTGATATGCTGTAGCTTTGCCTACTTAAACATACTGTTTATGGTTCTGTGTAATGTTTAAAAGGTTGTTTGTCCCCTTCACTTTTGAGAGAGTCTAAGGGGAAACAGAATTGAAAAGGGAGAGTAAATATTCATGGAAGTCAGGCTGGGAGAAGGAGAAAGAGAGCCCCGGTCTCCTTTGCCGCCGCAGCGCCGGGCGGGTTGGGCGCCCTTTGGGCTCAAGAGCTAATCTGCAATTGCCGAACCCGAGGCAGATTGTTCAGGGGCACCTTTTATATTAGAGTTTTTGAAAGCTGATCCAAAGTCGTGTTGGGTTTTTAAAGCTGCTGCAGCTATAGTGCTGCGGCTTCAGGAATAGGTTGTATTATGTCAATAAATAACCACTGTGTGTTGGCATCCTGAATTTTTCCTATTATGTGGTTTTCCTGATTTCACAAAGAAAAATTACACGGTACCTTGTGAAGAAGGTGCAGGCCAAAGAAAACTGAATAAAACCAAGGAGTGTGCAGAAAAACCTTTCCATGTCTTACTGGATAGGTAACAGAATTCTGTCTTCTAGAATAATCATGCTTAATGAGAAGAAATGCCTCTTTGTATTTATTTTCTTTTGAATTATACCTCTAAGTATCTGATTACCGTCTTGGTCACAGAATCATGACTTGAAGATTTTTTTTATTTTCTAGCATGCTTTAGTGGCATATTCCTTTTCTAAATGTGCTCATTTAGTTGCATGCGTTCCTAGGTATTTTCAGGTAGCTCGTCTCAAAAAAATTGCTAAAAATTAGAAAAAGCCGATTCTCTCCATGTTCTCCACTTGAAATGCATGATGTGCCTAATCCACAAATATTGCCCCTTTGTCACCCATGCATTTTTAATTATTAACTCTTTCTGAAAATTTTATTAGAATGTGCATTACATTTTCATCATTTAGAAGTTAAGAATTAATTAAAAAATCACAATGTTCTTATTACTATACCATGTTGTATAACGTTTCGAATAAAAATCTAGACCTCCATCGGGAGATGTGCCTGCAGGTTCCTATCATACCTCAGGACGTATATTTATTACTGAAGAAAGCAACTATTTGCTTTCTTCAGTAATAAATACAGCTCTTTTGCTCCAGTGAACATCGTGTTTTAAGCATCCTATAGAAAGTTACATTCAGCCTTCAGTCAGCGGGCCAAACCTCACATTTTTTCGAACTATGCAAGTGCACAAAATTGAGTTCAGCTACATGAGTGCAGAAGAGAAGTGAGGCCTGCTGTGCGCAGGAGCGAGGTCCTCGCTGTGACACACACAACCTGACAGCTCTCTGCGGAGGAGGATGTTTCCTGCTGTCTCATTCCTGACTGGTGCTGCCGTATCTCTGTGTCCGTGTTAATAGATGTCCAGAATCCATCAGGCCTGACGCGGTGCGACCGTGTCCTCTGCTCTGCAAGAAGGACTGTGTCGTTACGCCCTTCAGCGAGTGGACTCACTGCCCAACGACGTGTCAACCAGGTAAGCCTTTAGAATGAGAAAGAAATATTGTTAAAACCATAGCATTCATGGCATTTTCATATCATGTTTTCAAGAGTATTCATGTGGCTCACAGTGCTGTTAAATAATGAATACACAGGTGAGCAGATGAGTCTCTGTGTCTTCTGAGATTGTGCTCAGATAAGTAACAACTGTCTTGAGGAAAAGGTCTGTCTTATCAGATAATCAAGTTCTTTAGCCATTCCTAAACATGTTTTTCAAACAACTCATTCATGTTTGAACTATTTTTAAACAGACGACCACTTAGAAGAGATCTTCGCTCATTTTAAGTTAGGATAAACCATGCTGACCTGTGATTTTACTGTGCTCCCCGTGGTTGCAAACCTTGCTAGAGCTGCTGAGCACCTGAGTTCCTGTAGAGAGGGCTCCTGCCCTGGGAGCTGTCCCTCCACCTGCAGCCCTGTCCATCTCACACTGCACTTCAGCTGCAGAGACCTTGTCTCTGGGCTACTAGAGAACCACATTTTCATATGTATCCAGGCGCTGGGATTCTAGTAGAAATACATGTCGTTGCGTTAATATTGAGGGAAGTGCCACTGTAAATTGCAGTTTTTCAGTTTTTGTTGTCAAGGCTTCTGGCTACATCTGAAAAGCAAAGACTTCATGTTTTCACAGAGAAGGAAGGACATGCACTAAAAGGTCTAGGCAGAAACCTGCCGGATTTCTCGACATTTGTTGTGGTTAATCCATGTGTTCCTGGCAGCAACGCTGCTCTAACGGGTCTTGGGGATTCCGTGGGCAGGCTTGGGCAGCGTCTGCAATGCCGAGCTGGGAAACGCCTGTGCCAGGGCAAACAGAAGTGACCAGCGTTGCCACCTTAGTGAGCAAAGAGAGAAAGGAAGGACAAATACACGAGCCCCTCCTGCGGTCACATCTGTGGGGCACAGGGGATGCAAGCCTTGTCCATCAGGGGGATTCCTTCCTGCAGGGAAGGCAGAGCAGGATAGGAGAGACACCGAGCTGTTTAGGGGGATTGGCTCCTAAGGAACAGATTTGGATGTACAAGCTCTCTTTTATTTGGAATTTCTTCTCTGCCTCTGCCTGCGAAACAGCCTGAAGCCCAAGTCCCCAGCATTGTATTGCTGTATATGAAGTTGCTATTTTATGTGAAATGTATTTCTCTTGACAAACATCAATGAGTATAGAGGGTTGGGCAAGTTGCTCCTGTGCTTTGCAATGTCTCTTTCCTCTAGTTGGTAAGCTTTTGTATGTTTAGCATAGATGTTTAGCAAAGTTTCTTTATAATGATTTAGTATTGAGTTTTTGCGACAATTGTGTGTGGTTCTGTAATTGTTCAGATGAAAGTCCCCCTAGTTATCAGAATACTGCCCTTTTGCTGGCAGCTTCCTGGCTCTTCAAAGATTCTCAGTGGATGCTCTGCCATAGTCCTTGTTAGATTTTACAGAAAAATTAGTTGCTTTCTAAAACAGTGAATCCTGTTTTAATTAGCAATTTATTTTTAGACTTTAAATGAGCTGCCTATGAAGAAGTAGAATAAATTACCTGGTAAATTACTTTGTTTATTAAATAATAGTCTACAATTAAAATGAGAAGAAATTAATTATTTAACCATCTTGGCAGTGTTATCGTTTTAATATAATTCTAAATTAAAGCTTCTTAGATGGGGGAGTTTGCTTTTTGACTGATCTGTTATTGATACAGCTGCATTGTAAAATTTCTTTTTTTAATTTACTTTGCACAATTTAAAAAAAACTCTCAGCATGATAATGAAATTGTGAAAACACTATGCATATGTGAGTTGCTGAGTGTTTTGATTTTTATAGAAAAGTTGTATTTAATGAAAACAATATACAGATGGTGAATTACTAAGCAGATCAAGCCGGAGCAAGTATTGAATGGCAAATGTAAAATTAAATGTGTACCAGCATAAGATCAGAGCTTAGGCAAACATGCAGTCTCTAAATCAGGTTTACACAGAACTTTACCAGTTAAGCTGTTTGTAGTTTATCTGAGCAAATGCATCCAACTTTACTGTCTAACAGTAAAAAAAAAAAAAAGCTGACATTTCCCTTGCATTTAAATGTCATCAGACAACACAACAGGCTGTCTCCTGGCAAAGGATTATCTTGCACCTCAGGAGTGTAGACAGCAGTGAACTCAGGGCAGTAACAGATGGATGGACAACATAATTCACCAAAGAAGTGCAATTGATTCAAACACCTGTTGGTGAGTCAGGGACAGGGACGTTGTTACAAGTTATTGATTCTCTGCCATTTCGGATACTTAAAGGTGACAACTGTCTACCTCACTCCCCTGTAATATATCTATTTTAATTGGTCTTTGAGGATAAACTGAGACGAGAATCAAAATACAGGTTCCCGAATGTGAAATGGTTGAAGTGAGCAGCAGGTAGAGCTTCTCCATCACTGGCAAACCCAGTGGCCAAGGGGTGCTGGGGCAGTAAATGATTTTGACATGGGTGATGTTCTGTCTGGTCTGTCAGCATAGATATAAAATGGAATGGCTGAAACGTGGCTACCAGTCTAAAGAAACCACAATGAATGCCATTTTTCATTGCCCTCTTGAAAACAGATGGTTCAAGTACAAGCGTTGCATGAAGTGACAGCATCTGGACGGATCGCTCTGGTCTAAAGCTGGGAATACTTAAATACATACATATATAATACATATATATGTATTTTCAGCTGACTTTTATTATTAAGAAAGGTGTGTGTGTGTGTATTAACCTAATCAGTAAGCAAATAGGTGAAGGTTTGTGCTTCCTGATGCAGCTGAGCGCTGGGGAGGCCGGAGGCTGCGTGAGGAGGTGGCGGGAGCTCCAGGCTCCCTTTCTCCGCGTGCATCGGGGCTCCCGCAGCCCCTCTCCTCTTCCAGCGCTGGCCATGGGTTTCACTGCTAAACAAGTTTACGTGAAGTGTTAGCCTGTAACTCTCCAATTTATTTCCCCCATGACTTAAAGCAGTTTGGGAATGAGTTGGGGCAGAAGTAGATAAAAATTTATAGCCTAGCCATGGTAAATAATTCTAGTGACCTTTACATTGGGTTGGACAGTTTCAGTCAAGGATCTGCCATTTTCTATCTCATAAAGAAGCTTACCAGAGTTGGCTAGATTTAAAGACTTAGGCATTCAAAAGGTCTGTCTTCACAAAACTACTGGAGAAAACTTTGATTTTGGTGCCTAAAATCTTTAGGATCGACCTCGATCATGCCTGTGCTCACAAATCCTGTGCCGCTTGGCCTGTGCATGTCCCCTGCAGTCAAGAGCAAAGAGGCTGAAGCTGAATGCTGCCTGCAGAAGCTGTCCCAGCTATTCTGGCAAAGTAAAGCCAGGCAGAATCACAAAATCACAGAGTGGTTGAGGTTGGAAGGGACCTAGGGATCGTATAGTCCAATCCCCCTGCTCCAGCGGGGACACCCAGAGCACAGGGCACAGGGTGGCATCCAGGCAGGTTTGAAGATCTCCAGAGAAGGAGACTCCACAGCCTCTCTGGGCAGCCTGTTCCAGGGCTCTGTCACCCTCACAGGAAAGAAGTTCTTCCTCACATGGAGATGGAACTTCCTGTGTTTCAGCTTTTACCCATTACCCCTTGTCCTGTCACTGGCCACCACTGAGGAGAGTTTGGCCCCATTTCCTTTACATTCTCCCTTCAGATATTTGTACATGTTGATCAGACATGTGCATGTACATCTCCTCTCAGTCTTCTCTTCTCCAGGCTAAATAGGTCCAGCTCACTTAGTCTTAGCCTTTTCGCAGTGGTAAGTTTGTACCTCTTCTGGCAGTGGCGATTCATGTTTCAGAGCCCTGGACAATTGCCCTGGGGCAAGTGGTGGGAGTTGATGGGCCGGGGAGTCAAGGGTGCAAGTGTAGCCCTCAGAGCAGAAAATACAACACTGACTCCGTGGTGTTGTATCCACACAGCCTATTTAGGATATAGATGTCACAGACTAACGGCTTCATGTATGTAGTGGTGATTGAGTGGTCTTAATCAATGACTTAAGTAAAGCCTAATTTTAAAGTTTAAAACTGTCCTGATTCATGGGTTTTCCACACGCTCCTATCACAGCGATCTCCGAGTGCCTGATACGGATCTGACAAGCGTATCCAGGTGCCGCAGCCAGCACGGTGAGTGATGAGCACTGTCGGTCGCCCCGTAGACTCAAATGGCATAGTCTAAATGTCTCTGTCCTTCTGTCCCTGTGGTGGCAGATTGGCATTTCTTTGAAGAAAGGAAGGGAGATGACTTTTAAAATCCTAGAAAATAGCCTGCGCCCCAAACATTCTCAAGTGGCATTATCAAAGTTGCAAAGTCAAGGACATAGGAGTTAAGGTTGTCTTGAGACCCTGGGGTTTGATCTTTCAGGAGGACAAGCAGTCATATCTGTACTTGAAATCAGCTGAAGTTGAGCTTTGAAAGTGCAGTACTAAATAATGCTAATACTCTGGAAAATCAGACTATAACAATCTCAAACGATGTATAAAAACTATGTTCATTAACATTTGTGATGAAGGCTGTAGAAAAGCCAATGAGGAAATTCAATTTTGAAAATGGGGTCTGAGTAATGTGCAGTAGATGTTGAGGATAATTTAGTTTCTTCAGGTGGAGAAAATTGCTATGGGAAGCTCATTTAGATTTGGTACTGATTAATAGAAAGGAAATGGCTAAAAGTCTAATGGTGGGAGATAATTTGAATGGAAATCATCTCAAAGTGACAAGAGTTCATGATTCTTAGGAGAAGGAAAGAATGGCAATATCATCAAGACAGGTTTAAAAAAGATGGACTTCAACAAACTCAAAGAATTGGTGGCTATATCTCGTGGGAATGTGTGCTGTGCAAACGGAGCATGGAAAATCTGGGAGCTACCAAGAAAAACTGTTCTGAGGTCTGGAGCCTGACTGAGCAATTACACTGCTTCCCATCTTGAAACTATTTCAATAGTAGATAGGGATGGTAGCAGAGGTGAACAAATGTGTGCATGCGGTAGAGAACTTGAATATTCAGGCTTCAAACTGTGAAAAACGAAGAACCAAGAACACACCTAGCATGGCTCTGTTTTTTTCTTTTCTCATCATCAGCATTGTTCAGAATCCTGATTCCTTTTTGATTTTCACTTGTTTCAGAAAAATGAGAAACAAGCATATAACTAAATTTGGGGTTACAGTAATGCCTAAAAATATGGAGAAAGCGGAGTAAGTTATGGGAGGATATAAGAAAAATTGCATTAATAGAGTAGCTATAAGAGAAACCCAGATAAAATGTATGTCTATTACTAAATGAGGAAAGAGGGAAAGGCAACATAGAGAATGCTGCCATTCTTCCAGTCTGCAGCAGGAAAGGAATGGACTAAAAATATGGATTTCACTAAAATAGGTGTTTTCATGTCAGTAGGTCTGCATGAATAGAAAAGGAAGTAATAATACAATGCCAAGGCTTTTAATGACTGTCTGCTGGGATAGAAATTGATAGGTCCTAAACATTGACTGGCCCTAAATTGATATGGACTAAACAAAACCCAGTAATATAACAAAACAACAGAAAAAAAAAAAGGAAATTATGGATCAGAGCTCTTAATTGTGTGGGGAAAAAAAAGAAGGGAAAAACATTAGTCAAATTATAAACATCTTAAATATGAAAATGATAAACTGGACAATGTGGATTTGTTGAGAACAAAAAACTGCCCAGGGAGTTCAGCCGAGGCTCTTCTCTGGACGACGCAGTTGGTCTATTGTGAGCGTGAAGGAAGTGGTAGATCTTTGACCGAGGAAACTGGAACATGTGCCAAGGAGCGTTGTGTAGAAACTGTTCTTGGTCCAATTCTATTTGATATTTTTCTTAACAACCTCAGAACTTGAATAATAACATTTGGGGATGATACATAGCTGGAAAAGGTAACAGATGCAGCAGGCTATATATTAAGTGATGTTGAAATCTTTGAGAAATTGCTCAAAACGTCTGGGGAGGGAAAAATCAATTGCATAAAATGGGAAGTAAAGACATCAGTACTGTCGCAAGGACCCCTGGAGATATAATGGACTGCAAAATGAATGAAAGTCAACAAGTTGAAATGGTAAAACTCATATTGGTTTTAAATGGTCTTGTCATATATAAGACATTAAAGGTATTACTGTACATTGCACTAGTGAGGCCACAGGTGGGGTTCCTTGGGCACTGTATTTTAAGACAGTCACCAGTGAAAGATGGTTAAAGTAGGACCTATAAAGAACTTGTTTTGCCTAGTCTAGAACAAGGAAGACTTAGGGTGGATGTAAGCCCTTCACCTTTTATAAAGGCTATTCAGCAGTAGATAGTGATCACAGCTTTTTCCATGTGTGGTGAAGTAAGGTAAAGAGAGATCTGCTAAATTCACTACAGTGGTGATTTGGGTTGGATTTCAGGGGCAAGTTCTCTGTGAGGCTCTACTGGCACTGCAGCAGGCATCCAAAGGGGGTTGCAGACCGCCGCAGCGGCTGTTGTGTCCTGGGCTGTTGGGGATTGCCCTGGGCTTCCTGCTCCTGCTGCCGGGGAGGCGCTGCCGTGGACACCCTCCGGATGAGGTGCCCCGCAGGTCCCAGCTTCCCCTGCAGTCACCTCAGTGTGAGCACTGCTGAGGACGAAGACTTGCTGGGCTGATGCTTTTGGAGCCGACCGAGTCACTGGATTTGTATCTTCTGTTTGACTTTATCCTGAGCCTTCAAAATAACATTCGTACAAGGGGGCTATTTTACACACCGTTTTTCTCTCTTGGACAAGTTAGATTTGCGGATGTCCACTATTATGAGGCATGTTTTCTTGGTCTGTTATTTATGTAGTTCTATCAAGATCCCTTTTCAATGTTCTGCCATCTGTTTTTGAAGGGGGAACACAGGAGCAGTAAGAGCACAATCGCCCTGCATGTCACCTCTACCAGCTCTCAGGCTCCACTTCCACCCCTGCACAGCCAAGGAGCCCATTCCACCCCATCTCTTTTAGCCTTGGAATGACGCTGGCCCTGCCCCTTTTCCCTCTTTTCCTCCTCGCTCCTGCTGCGTTCCAGCACCCCGCGTGCTCTGGTGCTTTATCGCAGACTTTGCAAACTGTGTTTCTACATGGATTGACCTTGCATTAGACTGACGTTAAGTTTAAATTACCCTCTGTTGGCTCATGCTCCTCTCATGAAGAAGTTACCGTTTATAATTTCCAGGCTCTCTAAAAGCTGAGTTGCTGGCAGCTGAGACCACCAGAATATGTTCTCAAGAACCAAATCTTTCATGATAAGTTTCTTTTTTCCTCTTCATTATAGATAGTTGTTAAATCTTATTCTTGACTGATTTGATGTTCTGTAAAAAAAAGCCTTTTTTTTCTTTTTTTTTGTTTTCTCTTTTTCTGAGACCATTGATTTATAAACCTTCCAGGTGCACTTCTCTTGAACTGCTTGTGATTCTAAAGCAGGCAGTGATATCTTTTGTTACAAAGTACTGCTCCCCTTGCTTCTTTGGATAGCCAGAGGGCTCATGTTCTCAAAATATAAATGTAATGCAAGACATTTTTTAACCAAGACAGCTAGATCATTCACACAGGGTGCCAACTGTGTGGCAGGCAAATTTCTGTTTGTTTTACAGGCAATGCCACAGCAATAAAGCAGTCTCGGTACAGGATAATCATTCAAGATGCTGCCAATGGGGGACAAGCCTGCCCAGACACCTTGTATGAAGAAAGAGAATGTGAAGATATTCCTGTCTGTCCAGTGTATAGGTAAAAAGAATTAGCTTCAAACCAATTTCTTGCCAGTGGCTTTCTGAATTTCTAGAAATTAATCTTGTGGGATCATCCCGTACCGTTTTTACCAGCAAATAACACACAACTGGAAAATGCAGGTTAGAAGCAAATCACAGTGTGTGAATAATAAACCTCTTGTAAAATGCATAGTACAAATAAGTACAATTTAAATTGGAGATTTCAGTGGATCTGGCATCATCAAAAAAAGCACAAGTAATCACACCTCCTAAAAAAAGGTAACCTCTGGGTTTGAAATATTTCAGAAAGGTATTACTAGGAACTCCTCCCTGAATATATGCAAAAATCATTGTAATCTATTTTGGGACCACAGGCACTCAACTGTCTTTATCATAATTGTATGCATATTGCAGAAACCTTGTCTTTTCTCCAGGCTCTCTCATTGCAGTGAATAATATGCACTTTAAAAATTTCTGATTAGACAAACAGTACAATAGGGCAATTTCTCACCACTGTTCATTAAAATTCTATGACCCATCTGCTGCACAATGTTAGTAAATAGAAATGTATTAGATCTTTCTGTATAAACCTTCAGCCCACACGTCCTTTAGGACATGGTCTCAAAGCACAGTGCAAAACTGAATGTGGTGACAAAACGGCAGTCGTGGTAACGCTCAGCTCTGCAGAACTCTGCGCTGCATAATGCAGAAACCAGATCATGTGAAGCATCAGCTATGCAAGGAGGAGGCTGCAGGAGAGCCAGGCTGCAAAGCCCACTGAAGCTGTTTTATGTCATTTTGAAGTATGCCCTACAAAAATGAGGAAAGACATCGTGGACAGGGGATGAGTGTGGTTTTCTATAGGTTAATTCTCGAATCCAGGTGTTGCTTGGCTGTGCGTATACCAGGGGTAATTCTAGCTTTTAAAACTATTTTTCCTTAGGTTTCTGCAGCATCTCATCATTGGTAACTCAGATTTCTGAAGTTTTTGCTTGTAAGATTAGCTGTCTTCCAGTTTTCACCACTTCAGTAATTAACCTTCTTCTTCTAACAGGTGGAAGACCCATCGATGGAGTCACTGTGTCTTGGTGCCGGATTCAGTGAGACAGGATGTGCTAGGACACAGCGAGGCCTGCGGACATGGTTTACAATCAAGAGGTAAAATTCCTCCACGCAGTCTCCACGTGTTTAAAACATTTGGTGGATAAAACATTTAAGTAGGGTCTTTATTCTTTCACAGTGGCTGATTTAGAAACAAGATAACGGAAGTGTTTCAACTGTGATGTGAAGTGTTCTGGAAAGTACTGCTGTTTTGGAAATCAAAGCTCCAATATCATGATATTGTGGGAAGGGATATATGCTTGATATGCAGTTATCATTACAGTAACCCGTTGCTCCTGGCTAAAGATGAAGCACATACTTTTTGAAAGAACTGCCCGTGGGCCTCTATGGAGTAATCCGTGGTTGCTGCTACAAAATGAAAAGGGAAATTTGCTCGTCATTTGAGAAGGATTTACTAGTAGTTTGCTTGAGGCCAAATTTGCCTTAGGACTATTTGAAAAGTTCAGTGTGGGTAAAGGGTTTGGGCTCCTGCCTTTTGTGTGATTAAGCACTTGGAAGATACAGTGATCCGAACAAAAGTATCTGAACAGAAATGTTAACACGAATTTCACGATTGAGACTGTGAGATCAGAGTCTGGAGTGATGCAGCAGATGGCTTAGAGATTTGACTGTTGTCAGGCTGCAGGGAAATCCAATAAAACCTTTAATAAAAGGTTATTTTTATTGAAAAAATACTATATAGGTATGCTAGCTAAAGAAGCTTGACATAGTAATTTACTCCTTCAGAAGGTTAGAACCTATTCTTTTAAGATGAACTGAATTTGTTACATAATCTGGAAACAAAGGAAAAGAAAGAAAAGCCCTGACAGTATGTGGGCTGTATCTGAAAGAAAAAAAAATGTTTCAAACTAATGCTCAAAAGAGGAAACGTCTTTAACTAGGTTTTGACCACAAGCTTTTCCTCAACGTTTTCAAAGCGAGCTCTGTAAATTGTCCTAAAATTTATTCCTGCTTCTGTATGTGAAGATAATCTCTATGCTCCACTAGATGCACAAACTTTGTATTAATATTACTCGCACGGAATTTAAAGAGTAATAGAATAGTATCATGCTTATTTTTTTGCTCTATGAAGAGCTCTTCAGCTCTCAACTCTTCAAATAGAAAGGTATTTGCTGTTTTGGGTATAATCATGGGAAGATAATTTGATAGCATGGTGGGTTTAAGCAAAAATTATTTCAGTGCCGGGTTCACTTTTTGTATTTAACAGTGAGTTTTCATTAGAGCTCTGGTTTTCATAATCATATGATATGATAGAACCAATTTGCTGGTTAGTACTCAGGTTGAATGGGGTTTCAGGAAGATGAATCCTTGGGTGAAATCAATGTAAGATTTTCAAGATGTTTTCTGCAAATGAGGGGAGCAAACTCCATGGAGAAGCCAGTGAAAGCAGCCTCTGAAACTAGCTCTAACCATGCTGTTTCTGAAAAATAAAGCTGCCAGATTTGCAGAGAGTCTGTATCTTATCGATAAAAGTAGTTAATGAGGGAAACTTTTAGAAAGCTGCTGAAAGTCTTCAAGAGCATCTAGGATGTGAGGAGAGTGGATGTGCCACCAGCCCTGCGGCCAAGCAGGCTGAGCACTTACGCATCTTGGAGGAGCTTCCCTGATCACAGATCTCAGCACTTCAGGGCTTGTGGTCCTGTCATTCTCCAGCCTGAGGGGGTACTTGGGGGTATTTGAAGGTGAGCCTGAGGGAGCTGGATTATTTGTTCAGCCTCGAGAAGGCTAAGGGGGCTGTTCTTCAAGTGTTTGGTGGTGGTGGAGGGCTGTTCTTAGAGAGAAGATGGAGCTGGACTCTTCTCAGAGGTGCATGGTGAAATAACAGAAGATAACAGCTGGTCACAGCGGTAGTGAGGTAGACTCCTATATTGCCCACAGAGACCTTAAATTTTCTTCCTTTGAGATCAGTTTTGCCTTGTGCAGGCGTTGGACATCCAGAAGTCCCTTCCAACTGAAATATATATTGTGTGAATCTGGGAGTCTATGTAAGTCCTTTAGGGGAAACTGCCCCATCAATATAAGGACTCCGGGTGTTATGGATACATCTATAATATACATATAAATGTATATATGTATGTTTTCCTGTGATATTCAGACTTTCTATGCCTGAGTTTGCATTTTAGGTACCAGCAGCACTCCAGACAGTAATTGGCTTGCGCTGTAATTGGGGTGTACAGTATGTCAGCTGGTTTAGCCACTAAGTGCTTATTTTCCAAAGAGCATTTATATGAATTTGCCCAATTTCTTTTTTTCCCATGTAACAGCAATTACCCCTTTGCCATTGCAGGTAATCAATCTTACTATATTTTAGAGCATGCATTTTTAGATTTTTTCCCCCATCCATATCATGTCGTGTAAATAAAAGGATTTGAGTTTTCAATGGCTGTCATATCTGGCCAATTATAAGGGCATTAAATCCATATCACTTGCTTCTAAATTTTGAATGTGAGTGTGTGTGGAGGGAAAACGAGTCTGAAATGGCTTTCAAGGTTTATTCTTTCTCTAGGAGGGATTCTGAGATGCTACTTACAGTATCTTGCTTTATGAATATTTTCTCTGAAATTGCATACAGAGGTACCATGTAACATGTTGAAGATACCAGAGTTTGTGAATAATAAGCAGAATAGCCAAATAGATGACAGCCCTCTGAAGCTGCAGTTCTCGTGGCTTTATCTTGGAATGATATTACATTATAATACTAATTGCAGCAACTTTTCCTTTTGCATTCGACTTCAGTGGACTAACTTATGCAGACAACAGTCATACACGTATGGGAAAAACAGCAGTTAGGGCTTATTATTTAAACTTCATTAAGGAATGATTTGCAAAAAGCCCTCCTGTTAGGGCACTCCAGAATAAAACAAGGTGGGGATTTTGCTCTTGCTTGGCAGTGACAGAGACAACATTTCCAAGAATAAATGAAGAGTTCTACAAGCTTTTTTTATTGCTACATAGCTGTCATTTTCCTCGACAAGTGACTAATTTACTAGAAGGTGTCAAGACTGTGAGAAAATTGCTTCTGCTTCAGATGCCCTTCAGTGACTTTAGTATTCACTGATGTTTGTGATGGAGGATCCTCCAGAAATGACCTGTCGCTTTAGTGCTGACACCATCAGCCACCTTAGACATTTACATTTTGGGGGAAAAATGTGTTGCTCATTACAAGGGATTGTTAACATTTAATTAGTGCATGGAAGCCTGTTTTAAGCAAGTGTCTTTGAAGGCTGTTTCAAAAGCTATGGGATAAAATAAATAGACAGGTATTACAGACCAGACTGATGTAATGAGGCTCCACTTTAGGTGCAGTCTTGGAAATACAGTGACAACATAGTTATGAAAAGTAGTTACTTTCCAAAGAAGCTGTGGCAGTGGAACCCATCGTGTCTTGTTTCTTCTGTTCTTGCCACATCGTGACTGTGATTCATTTTTGGGATTTGACCATGTTTTTCCCCCATTAACATAGACCTCGTGTCCGTCTTGGACCCGTAACATTCCTGGCAAGGATCTGGAAGCCGTGGGAGGCAAAGCAGTAGATATGCTTAGAGAATGATTTCTTGATTTATGTAGAGGAAAACAGCAATAAAGCCAGCTGTGCAGTAATGAGAAGCTGCTTGCTCCGCCTGGGAGAAGCGCACTCAGCCTTGTCCACCCGAGGGCACGGGCTGGATCGACACGGGCTCGCGTTGCTCCCGCCTCGGCACGCGTACGGCTGCGTGTGCTCTGCTGCTCCTCTTTAACCAGGCTGGAAAATCCATACCACGTGGAAGTCATTAGATCGCTGGGGATGAATACGATCCATTTCAGGGAAAAGATTGACATAAGAGTTGGCAGGAAAAAATAAGGTTCCGTGCAGCACCAAATTCAGGGAGTTCAAGGCCCCTGTCTCTTTCCTTCCAGGTTTCTGGCTCTAGGTAGGAGATTTTGCGATAGCTGTAGTGATACTGCAGACAAGGCTGGTTTTAGACTAAGCTGATCAGACATTTATCTTTACGAGAAGAAAAAAATCTTTTTTGGGTGTGTTTAAGCATGAGGATTGTTTAATTAAAATCTAAAATCTGAACAGAGTTGCTCTTACAAGCATAATTTTTAATAAATTAGTGACATAAATTAATACTTGTTCCTAAAAAAGATGAAAGAGTGAATTCTAGTGTTGTCTGTGAACACCACATTTACCGACATATTTCAAACAGAAATCTTTTAGTTGTATTATCTAATGTATTTTCAAGCTGCAGCATGGTAATGGCGAGGTACATTACTCTTGTTTCTACTGAAATTATGGTAGCCTAGTTGTAATGAGTTTTGCCATCAAAAAAAGCATCGTGGTAAATAGCCAGCACATCTTATTGCCCATTACATGTGTGGTTAATATAATAGCCGATTAGCTAAGAAAGCAGGTACGCGCCTTATAGTTTCAGTTGTATGATCTTACAGAAAGCTTTTGCATGGAAATGCCCATTTTGGGAGTTATATACTAGAGCTGCTTTATAATTTACGGGTTGCAGACTGTGTGGTAACCAAAGGTTTGGTTTTGAATGCACGTATGATAGTGAATGTGGCAGAGACAGCCCTGTGCCATTAGGAGGTGACATTTTAGGAGCAGTATTTCACAGGAGAGTCCCAGCTGTAAGTCTATCCAGTTGACAGCAGCCTGCCTGCCCCCATAGATCCCTCCAATACCAGCATCAATGGGAAAGGACCTGACTCGTGAGCATCACTGAGGACTCCCCACTTCTTGCTGGATGTCTGCTGGTGTCACCGGCCTGGGGGCCGGCTCGGGATCGGAGGCGGCGGGGACACGAGCGACGCTGGGGTCGGGAAGCTCGGTGGGCTGCGCTTGGAGTCGCGGCGGCTCCGGACGTCGCCGTGGCCTGGAGTGACAAGCAGCGAGTTTGAGCAGCGAGTTTCTGCCACGCGTTTCTTGGAGCCCCGGGCTGCGGCCCAGTTTGGAGCAGGGCTGCCCGGGAGACACTCGCCCGTCAGGGGCCGGCGCGATAGCACAGACGGAAAATAGCAGCTGACACGGAAAAGAGTGGTTA